CCCCCCTTTTTTTTAAGAACGAAGTTAAGGTTACGTAAGAATGTTTTGTTGGGTTTTGATTATGTGATGCAGTACAGTCATACAATCACACATAACCACACCTACAAGAACACCACAAAACACAAATAAACAAACAATACAAATTCTAAATTAATCGTTATCAAAACAAAATAACGCAACATATACTGTGCAGAAATCATATAAATGTGACTGACAAAACACATAAACTCACAAACTGACGACCTATAACTAATATTTTCTTCATTTTCGTTTTTTTTATCGATTTTTTTTGTGAAATGGAATGTTGCGAAAAGTCGGGAGGAATAATGTCCCCTTTTTTATTTTCTTGTGAGAGTTTTTGCTGGCGTGGACACATTATGGTATGGAATGTTTGGGTATCAGACACACGCATCACAACTCAACACGGTGTTATTGCCTTCTGACGTGGTAGAAATAATGAGGAACGCGGAGGGTAGGCGGGGTGGAAGGTGGGTGTAGAGAGTGGGTGTAGAGGATGGGTGTGAAGGGTGGGTTTTAGAGGGTGGTTGTGAAGGATGGGTTCTAGAGGGTGGGTATGAAGGGTGGGTTTTAGAGGGTGGGTGTGGAGGGTGGGTGTGAAGGGTGGGTGTGAAGGGTGGGTGGGAGGGTTGGGTGTGGAGGGTGGGTGTAGAGGGTGATTGATTTTGATTTTGATTTTGATCTTGCCACTTATAGCGACTAGTTTATTGTGCACCCCATTCTCATCCTGTGAGTGGTAACGCAAAAGGACTACAGAGTAGAGTTCACAAAGGGTCAGTATAACTAACCCCCGTGGTCAGGATATTATGGCATTGCATGTTACAGAGTATTTTAAATAAATTCTTTGTTAAGTTTGAGGTTACCAGTTGTTTGTTGAATACCTTAGTTTACACAGTGGAGATAATAAGACCGAGGTTCTCACAGGCTACATGTACATGGTTCAGGGTGGTTTGCATTTCACGATGAGTTTTAGTATGTATAAGGATATCATCAACATAGCCTAACAGTAATATTGCTGGGGTTGTCTGGTATTGAATTTAATAATGCATTCATAACAACATTGAACAAAGTGGGCCCAAGTACTCCACCTTAAAGGGTGCCAAGTTGCATATCTTTAACTTCATTTTTGTAACCCTGCAACAGTGCAGCAGCCTTTACCTAGTGTAAAAACCGACCTCCTATATCCATTTTGGCTAGTTTGTACACTATCAGTTGCCTATTGGCAATATCAAATGCAGCTTTTAGGTCAAGAAATGTGGTGTATCTGTGCCTTTCATCCCCTTGTACAGTTAGGAATGTGGTGATGCAATTATGGACACCTTTTATGCTAGGAGACATGTGTTCTCTGATTCTATATAAGAGTCTGCCAAGAACCATCCTCTCAAAAGTTTTACACAGGCAGCTGTTAGTGAAATGGGACGAAAAGAATCAGGCTGACCTGGTTTCGGTATTGGTAAAAAAATATTGTTGGTTCATGATGTGGGTAAATGGCCCTCGGCATGGTTCATATTGTACAATGCCAATAATGGATTGCCGGGCACACGTCCTAGTAGTTAGTCTAACGATGTTGCAGGTGACTCCGTCCTCTCCAGGAGCAGTAGACCTACCTCTGGCGAGGGCGGCGTCAAGCTCCCATTCAGTATATGGAACATCACACTCATCGTGCTGTTTGCCCAGCACAAAGTTAATGAGATTACTTGTCTCTGCAGACTTCGCATCAAGGAGTCCCCGAGTCCTAGTTGGTAACATGTCAGAGCTAGAGACATGACCCCACTTTGATATTAGTTCATTCGATGTTTGCAGAGGGTTTGGATGGGAGATTTGTCTACTGTTTTTATCCCTGATTGTGTGTATGTCTTTCCAGGCTTTGCTGACATATGTCTTCCATGCATTTTGTCTGAGTTCGTTTGCAAGTTCCCTGGCGGCAACAAGGGAGGCTTGATACAATTGTAACATTTGAGATGTTCTAATTTGTTTGTTACCCTTGCCCACCCTCCTGACTCTAGCCCTGCGTTTTTTTTTCAGTTTAGGGTCATCATAGCACTGATGTTGCTTGTTCCCATGATGCTGGTCACGTTTTCTCCTTTTGTTGGTGGAGGCATTGTTGGTGAAGTATGTATAAGTCCTATCTATCAGATCATCATGGAAACTTTGGTAGTTGTCAGGCTTGTAGTCCTTGTACCAGTCATGGATAAAGTCTATAAACTGGCTTTCATGTTCTTGTTTAACTGTGAGTCTACGTCTGTTGAGTTTACCGCTAGTGGGGGCGTCATTAGCTACATGTATACTAGCTTGGATTGGGTTGTGGTCAGACATAATATCAGTGACAACATCAGAGCTATGAGTTGTGTATAATAGATTAAAGCCAATACACTTATCTAGAGCCCCGCCATAGATTTGTGTTGGTTCACTATTACCTATAATTTGAGCATCTTCATATGCGCTGAAAAGTGAAATAAGTCTCCTACCATTGGTGTTAGTGGTGGGGTCACCTAATTTTTTGTGCCTAGTATTCAGGTCACCAATTAGGACAGTGGGTTCAATGTGTGCAAAGTCTGGGAGATCTGTGTACTGAAGCTGATCTGAGGGAGCATAGGCGTTTAGCACGTTGACTGTGGAGTTGCCCAGGTGGATAGTGATCCCATGGTATTGAAGGTTGGTAGTCTTTTTGGATACAAGAAGTACATGCGGTAGTGACTTCTTAACATACATCAAACATGTGTGAGTAGAACTAGGATCATAATACACATAATTGGGCAGACTGGGTGGGGGCTTACCATTAGGTGTGAGAGACTCCTGCAGACACACAATATCGATGTCCTCAGTCACAACTTAGTGGTGTAGGTCAGGGTATCGTTTTCTGAGGGATGAGATGGTCCAACTCATCACCTCCACTTGAGCGTGGAGGGATGGGTGTGGAGGGTGGGCGTGGTGGATGGGTGGTAGGGGTGGGTATGGAGGTGGGTGTGGAGGATGGGTATGGAGGGTGAGCGAGGTGGGTGGATGTGGAGGTTGGGTGTCGGAGTGGGCGTGGTGGATACGTGGGAGGGGTGGGCGTGGAGGATGGGTGTGGAGGGTGGGCGTAGAGGGTGAGTGTGAAGGGTGGGCGTTGAGGGTAGGTGTGGAGTTTAGGTAGGTTAGTTTGGTTTATTTTATGAACGCTATATTATATGATGTAGAAGTATGTTTAGGAGAGTTCCCAATCTCGCGAATGTCAACAGAAGCGTTCGTTATTTTACGTCTGCTAAACACAAGATTATGTACTACTGTCACCTCAAAAAGTTCGTGACCTCGGAGATGAGAATGAACCGCTGAAGCGAACCCTGGGAGTCCTCTGGTTTAGTTTTGATTTTCAAGCGCTAGTTAAACAACACGGCGCCTGGTATAAAAGTTGCCGGAAGTCTCTCGGCAGGTGGAGCTGATCACGCCTGTTGATTTTATACACAGATCATTAATGTAAGAACCAGATTATATTATAATAAAACAAACCTGTCATTAATGTTATATTGTAATATGTCAAAATTTTTCTACAATTTACATCATTAATATCAAGTGAGCAAAACCTGATGACTGCTGTAGAATACAGAATATAATTAAAAAAAAATTAACAAACATGTGAAGAAAAAAAAGTAAATTATGAATACTGAAAGTACTAGGTGGTTGTGGTGGGGTAGGAGCGGTCCCCTTCCATCCGTCACCCCCCTATCCCCACATACAAGCCATAAAAAGTGACACACAAGACATATTTCACCAGCTATATCGGTCTGGTAGTTTTTATTTCTACTGGATGAAAAAAAATATCAAGTTATATTAAAGAAATGAAGAAGTGGGTGAGTGGGACAGGAAAGCGACTCAGTCTGCTGTTTTTATAAGTTTACCATTATTATATATGGGCCATGACTTGGGTCATGACTCATGTAGGGCCATGACTTTTAGAGGGCCATGAATTTTTAGGGCCATGACTTGGGCCAAAACTTCTGTAGGGCCGTCATGACTCCTGGAGGAACATGACTCTTGTAGGGACATGACTTCATGAGGGCCATGACTCTTGTTGGGCCATGACATATTTAGGGCCACAGATATTCGGTTTGGTACCCTTAACTACCGTGGGAACTCTAATAGGTCTTTTCCCGGACTCTGATCGGTTGCCGAAGGTTTGGTGGTAGTGGTAATCAATGTTCATTAAAATCTTCACCTTTACAGTTTTATCTGTTGCCAGTACCTCAGGCAGTGTTTGGGTGATATATATATATATATATATATATATATATATATATATATATATATATATATATTTATATATATAAAATATATATATAAATAAATATATATATATATATATATATATATATATTTTATATATATATATAAATATATATATATATATATATATATATATATATATATATATATATATATAAAATATATAGTGGATGTCATCATTATGACCTGACCTCATGTTTTTAGGTCACCCTGTATATTTAAGCCTCTCTCTGTCCATGTAATCCAGTTGCCTCTGAAGATGTCTTGAATAAAGACGAAAGCTAAGGTACTCCGTTGTTTCCATTTCCCGTGTGATTTTATCAAGATATATATATATATATATATATATATATATATATATATATATATATATATATATATATATAAATATATATATAAATATAAATATATATATAAATATATATATAAATATAAATATATATATAAATATATATATAAATATATATATAAATATATATATAAATATATATATATATAAATATATATATAATTATATATATATTTATATATATATAAATATATATATAAATATATATATATATATATATATTTAGATCCACAATCCACAATGGAAACGTGGATAAGATAAATTTTGATAAAATCACACAGGATGGTTGGCCCAAGGGCCACCTAGGTGTGAATTTATTTAAGGTGTAGAAGCTGTCGCCAACACAACAACCACACCCTAAGTTAACGAGTTGCATGACCCAGTGTCAAGGAATAGTCCGAGAAGACCGGACAACTCGTCAACTGCACTGGCTAACCATTACCCCAGAACACGATCCGCAAATCGATTAACATCTAGGTTCCCAATTACTGCTGGGTACACAGAGGCAAATGGCGTAAAGAAACTTGCCCATAATTTTACCCTGTCCGAGGATCGCACCTGGGTCGGCTCGCTTGCGAGGCGAGCATGCTGACCATTACACCACAGATAATGCATGACATAAACACGGTTCAAGACGAGGAGTTGTGAACTACCCCTATTTGCACTTTACTACCACTACTTTTCAGTTTATTTTGAACGGAGTTCAAAACTCGAAACAATTAAGTATCATTAGAGTCAGTTACATAAAAAGGAATATAATTGAAACAATACTCAAGACACGCTTCATTACAGTTACACAAAGTGTGTCTGTACAGACATTTTATAAAAATATATGAGTCAATAGGGCAAATATTAATAACACTGATAATATTACAATATATACACGGTAACATTATCGAAAACGGAATGCCGTACTGCTAGAAGACTGTTTGAGAGGTTTATGGGTTGGAGTACCGTCATATATTCACACCCCGGGTTGACTATGTATTTTAGTGATCTGTCGGTGTAATATCTACAAGTCTGTTGACGTACTCTGATGGAATGTCGATTTATAATGAGATGGTGTCAAAGGTTATGATGCAGTGGTATAATGCAAAATATTGTCTATACATAGTATATTATGAATTTTCGTGGGAGTAAAGTACAAAAAGGGGGAGTGCAATACATGTGGCACATTATGGTTTGTCCACCCGGCTAACTCTGAGCTCGGCTTTGTTACACGGTTGAAGAAATCTAAGGCATTTTCTCACGAATTCCCTCATTCTTGTGCGAGGCCTGTAGACTATGAATAAGAAAGCATAAAAAAAAAACAATCATAAAATTGATTAAAAACGAGCGGTGTTCTTTATGAAAATGGACGAAAGGATGAAAAAACAAGTCACCCTGACGAAACTTCGAGCAAGTAAATAAACTGGACATGAAAACCCTCTAGTCACGTGAAAATATAATGTATACAGGTTAATGTTCATATTTCGACCGCTATAACTCCGGGTAAAAGTTTATTAGATGTTTACATAAGAAAAAGGTGTTCCAAGCACAACAACTTAAAAAAAAACCTTGAACGTACAATAAAAAAAAATATCTCCAGTATGTTATAGAATGAGATAAGTTAAAAAGAAAGGGGTAAGGCGGTTGGATGGATAAAGCACTCGTCTTCTGTCCTAAATTTGCTGACTCGCGCTCAAAGTTTCCCCATTTCAGTCATAAGTAAATGGATACCCACGTCTAAAATTGGAGAAGCGAAGGCGGTTGAGTACAGTGCTGGCCTTAATACCTCCTTGTGTACTGAGAATAGCTAGCTTGCAGTGTGATGTATCCACACTGCCCTTACGGGATCCTCTTTCACTTTCATATCAATTTATAAACAAAACTAATGACATTCTTTACACCAGAGTGTAATGGTGAGAGAGAGAGAGAGAGAGAGAGAGAGAGAGAGAGAGAGAGATTAATTTATAATGTCCCCGGGCAGACCACAATTGTTTTTCTCTATCGACGGTGAGATCATATAATCAATTGTGAACAACTTCCGTGATAGCCCCCCCTGAGACGACTAAATCACCACCAGTCACCACACACAAGCTGCTACAGCCGATTATCCAAAAATTTGACGTATCTAATGTATATTCATTATCTCTTTTAAAACCTGTGGAAAATAAGAAAAATACACATTTCTGTGAACTGAAATCATTGTTTTTTTTTCACCGATGAAGAAAATTGATCTTTGACTTACGAGCTTTGGGTCCATATAAATGACGGTCGACAATTCTCACTGCTTAATGTGTTGCTGCCACTCGTCACGATGGTGTCCCCGTCAAGGATGCTGTAAGTACTGCAAGCATCGGGCCTGTACAAGTTGGTTTATGACTGATTTAACACACACCAAGAAGTTAGGTTTGGTTCAGCAATCTCTCGGTCGTAATTCTGGCACTGATTTTTATGACTATGTCTTTAGGATAGTTTCGTTGAGTATTTTCTTAACACTACTTTTTAGCTCAATTTTTTTCAACTATGATAATTGGAGGGGAGGGGATTTATTCCTGGAATTTCACACGAGTTCAAACAACTGAAGACGTTGAGGTGTCAAGCCGCACTTCCTCCAGGCAGATGAGTTAGCATGTGTTGGGTGTTCACATGTGCCGCTTGGTGTTGAGTGACAACGGTAGTGGATTCTGGTGATTTATAGACACAGCTTTGGTGTATGAGCTTCCTCTCACGTGAAAAACATCCTTCCATAAATACGGTGTAAATCGTTGCTACTTATTTGGATCTATCTTACAAGTTTCAGCTTAAATATGTGAGAATAATGTGTGATAAAACCACTAAGTGCTAATGGTTACTGGGTGGAAAATTACTGCAACACTTCCTATTTTTTATTTTTTTAGAATATTGGTTGTTGGTATGTTCTAACAGCTATTTTCCCTTAAAGTCCACCTGTAGTGTTTTACTATTGTTCTTCTACAGTATTTTGAGTTATTTCAAATGACTGCTAGTATTATAGCATAGCCTTAAGTACGCACCGAAAATGACCCTAATTAAGGCGGGTCCGCTCCATTTAAAATGAAAAATAACCAAATCTGTAAATGTATAATAAACATTGAGAACTTTTTCAGACTAGTGGTGATGAGTGTATGGGTTCAACACTCTACCTCACAATACCTCCCCGGTACACTGCTCATGAGTCACGCAGGTCCAGGGCGCGACACCGTCCCATTCATTGCTCAGTATCTGGTGCACAGGTGAGGCAGATCTACGGGAATTAGTATATTATTTTGTAAATTCCTTGAAAAGTAGTTTCTTTCACTATCCTATGCTCATTATATCTTCATTGTTTTATGTTCTCGTCACATTAGCTATCTGGAAGGCTGTGGTCTCACTCTCCTCTATGACGAACGTGATAACTCGAAGGACGCTGAGGAGATCCTTCGCCAGGTGGACCAGCCCATGACTGTGTTCGCTCTGGAGGACTCACCTGACGGGGGACTGGAACTGGCGAACAGAACAGAGATCCCACTCTTCAACACCTGCTCTGCCTACATTATACTGTCACAGGATGTAAGTCTACCAATGTTGTGTTTTGGTTACCTGAGATGTCTAGGTCTGTTGTGGTGTTGTGGGGGATTTTTTATTTTTTTATTTTTTTACGGGGATAAGTCCACCAGCACAGGTCACTGCCCCACATCGGGGCCTGGGGGGCGAAAATATAATAATAATAATAATAATAATAATAATAATAATAATAATAATAATAATAATAATAACAATAATAATAATAATAATAATAATAATAATAATAATAATAATAATAATTCATAGTAAATATAATTCATAATAAAAATACAAAATTAAAAATAAAATATTAAAGATAACAATTATAATAATGACCCATAAAGAAAAAATAAAGAAAAAATAGTGAGAAACAATATATGTTCTGTATGTCGTGTTGTCAAAGTAAGAGAAACAAGTGAGACCCTGCAATTGTGTGTAAATTAGGCAGAAAGTCAGATGAGCAACCTAGGACTTGGTCACAATTAGACAACACATTATGTTTCCAATATCTTCGCAGAAGGTAGTACTAAGTACTTCCCTGTTTGATAACCGCCTATTACCTACTACCTACTGGTGTTCTATGGTTGTCTGATGTCTTGTGGCGTTTCTACCCCACAGCCTGCGGACAGTAACTATATATCTCACCGTCTCTCACCCAAAGCCTGCAGGTCTCGGGTCTCTGGTGAGGTCGGAGGGTTTCCAAACTCTGTTGGACTACCTGGGTCGGTTCATCTTCGTGACGGGGTCGTTGGCTCGGTCACCTGAGATCATCCTGGACAACGAAATCATGGCCTGGCGACCTCATGCCCTGGTGGTGAGGAAGGTCATTAAGGTTGGTGCTTATATGACGCTTCTCTTTCTGACACACACAAACACGCACTACTACCCCCTGTACAACTTTGCTGTCACTCTGAATCGAGTATGACGATCATCCAGCTATGAGACAAGGATATGAGTTATTATGAATGTCACCTTCGTTGTTGAGCTCTGAGGTGACTTGAGAGGCCGATACGGGATCGCTGGGCCGTCCACAGATGTTACACGTGTGGAGGGCTACTTCTAGTGCGGGAGCTGCAGCGGCAGTGCCTTTCCGGCGCTGGTGCCTGTCTGTCTCTGTATGCAGTCGGGCTAACTCGAAAGTATTGATACCTTCTCGTGTGGTGCTCTTCCAAGCGCTTCGTTGTGTAGTGAGGGGGTCGATTTGGCATTTTGTCAGGTTTGTCTTAAGACTATCCCTATACCTTTTCAGGTTGTCCACCAGTGTTACGTTTGCAATTGGTTAGATGACTATAAAGTAGTTGCTTTGGCAGTCTATTGTCGTCCATGAGGGTAAAATGGCCAGTGCAATGCAGTTGTTCATGGATAATGGTAGCCTCGATGCTCCTACAGTTGGTGTCAGTGAGAATACTGGCATTTGTTCTCTTGTTTTCCCAGCGAACTCCGAGGATGAAACGTAGACTACGTTGGTGAAAGTTTTCAAGTGCTTTGAGGTGCCTCCTGTATGTGACCCATGTCTCGCTGCCAAACAGCAGAGTGGGGAAGACCACTACTCGATACATGTGCAATTTTGTAGGTAATTTAAGCTCCCTACAGCTGAAAACACGGGTGCAGAGTCTGCCAAAGGCTTGAGATGCACCCCATTCGGCACTCGGTTTTAGTAGTTTGTTGGTTGGTTGTTTATCAGTCCATCGTTGAGCTGCTCTCTGAAAGCATGTGCTACCGCTGGATCCAGTCACTTAGTGTTAAAGCCTTTTCTAAAGGCTTGTTACCTTCACCGTTTTGGGGCGACGTTGATGTACAGAGAGAGTTTGGCTCTGCCGAGCCAATGATCTGTGTCACAGTGGTCAGGGCCACATATGGCTCAGGTGATAAGGGCATTTCGGCAATCTCTTTTTCTGACAATAATGTAGTCAATGAGATGCCGATGTTTGGATCGTGGGTGTTGCCAAGTACCCTTGAACTTGTCGGCCTGCCAAAACAAGGTGTTGGTGATAAGTGGTTAACGCACCCTTTCTCAGGTTGGTTAGCACTCTGTCAAGGTCGGCATATAAGGCCTCCTTGGTGTCATCCTCTGCATCCAGTGTTGGAGCGCATGCACTGACGAAGATGGCATGACATGAGTGATTCAGTGGAACTCGGAGCGTCATGAGACGCTCGTTGATCCCAAACAGGCATTCAGTTAGCCTATGTAGGATGGATTGATGAATGGCAAAGCCAACTCCTTAAATGCGTTCTTAACATGATCAGGCCGCATGTATGCCGATATTTATACTAAACTCTTTACTAAGGGCGGTTCTTCTTTCAGGACACTCATTTGTGCCAGTATCCAGAAGGGTCCTGACTTTCCATGCAGCGACCATTAGAGGTTGTATAGTTTGTTTTTGCTTTGATCTGTGATTGTGATTCTGTTTTCGACTGCATAAGTATGACTTTACTGGAAGCATCTGCTTGTCCCAGTCGCCACTCGTCTGTCGCCATAGGAATTTTGGGAGTATAGGGTTTTGATGATGATGAGAAGTATGATGAGCTGTACGATGGCTGTGTGTGAGTTGATTTATGTGGTGAGGCAGGAGCACAGGTTGCAACCACACATCTTGTCTCTCCCTCATCCTGATCCAGTGGTGCAAATAGTTGCAACGACTGGGGAGAGAGAGAGAGTTGTAAAGGACTGCCGATAGCCCAGTTTGTTGGATTGCGCCTTAGTAGCCCGTCCATCGTGCATTGCTTTCATCCTCCGGTGTAGTCGTTGGGTTCCCATATTGGTCACCTCCTCTGCCTCTACCGCCGTTGGGGTCTTGTTGAAGCTCTGTAAGCATGTCTGCCTGTTGCTGGGCTCCACTGCAGATTTTTCGTTTAGGGTTTAATCCCGTAGTCTTATATCTACCAAGGCTAATCTGCAAGGCAGCAGGGCAATGGTTGGTAGGGGCCAGGACGTGTCCACATGCCAATGGGCATGTGGACACGTCCTTCCTTCTGGGGCCCACTGTTACTCCGAGATCCCCTGCTGGTCTAGCCTGGGCCCAAAAGGCACCCGGTTACCGTGTGTTGCCACGAGGAAGCACAGCAGGAATCTTGATGGTGAAGAGACTGTGTACTGGCAGGGGAAGACTTACACAAGGTTGCATCCCTGTTAACCATGAGGGCTAGCCAGCGGCGGTAGCTGATACCGAGAGGAAGCAAGCAGTGCCTGCACCTTAGCACTAACATAATGCTGCCACGCTAGACGCGTTTTACCACCGTGTGTGTGTGTGTGTGCACGCTCACACTCACTCACACACACACAGACACACACACACACACACACATGAGATATACTGTACATCTTTGTACCCACACCCTGTGAGTCACACATTCTTGTGCCAACATTTACACAGACAGGGGAAGCTGGGGGCGACTACGAGGTATGGAGTCATCATATGTTCCGAGAAGAGGATGAGGAGACGGTGTACCTGGCGGGGCGGTGGAGGCGAGGACACATGCAGCCACCCACTCAGCTCTTCCCCGATAAGCTGGACAACTTCCACGGTGGCGAGCTGCGAGCGGTGACCTTCGAGCACGCCCCGTCTATCGTGGAGGTCCCCGGAGGGTCGCAGGGCCACCATTATGACGGTAGGCTGAGACAACACACACAGTCCATCGTGGTGTTGGTGGAGATATAATGATGTGACAGATTCGTTATAATTATTTGATGGTATGTCATACTCTTCACAACGCTGCACTCTGTAGGAACCCCAATGCAGCCGCTGTAGTACCACTAAAGTCCAACCTCACATCGCTTGTATTATGGCTCACCCCTTCCATTGTGTTCGTAGCTGAGTTTTTCTGGAAGTAATTTTGTAGGATTCGCCATCATTCTTTGTTCTGGGTTTAATACAACGTGTTAAGGTAGGAAGGATTATGAGTCTCTCTCGTCTCTCTTCACCTCTAAACTTATATTCTCTTCTTGACTAATACTTTCCAACTATCCATTTGCCCTCCTTCAACTGAACACACACACACACACACACACACACACACACACACACACACACACACACACACACGCACGCGCGCGCTTTCATTGTTATTATTCATTTATTCTTACAGCTACAAAGGATATAGTTACCTATGGACCTCACCTTCCACAACAAGGGCTTCCCCAAAACTGCTGCTTCTTGGATCTCTCATCGTAACCCTTCAAGTCTTCCTTCTCCCTTGGTGTATTATCTTCTGGACATTTGGAGGAAAAATATTGTTAAGCAATAACGAAATATTTGTAGAATATATCATGCTCTTATTTCCAGATAAAGAATACATATAATTATAAGTTATCTTTATAATGCACCATTTACCATTGCAGGAATCGACATTCGGTTGCTATATATCTTGTCTGAGGCGCTCAACTTCAAGCTGAAGATCGTGAATCCTTCAGACGGAGGAAAGTGGGGATCGCCCATGGTCAATGGGTCGTGGTCGGGGCTCACTGGGGACTTGACACAGCGCCACGCCCACATGGGCGTCGCCAACCTCTTCATCCACATCCACTACCTCGAGGTAGGTACTGAACCTAATCACCTCACGGTGGCTCCTGTTGCACTTCACCTCTGTTAGTAATGGTAGAAGTCACTCACTCCTGCCCCAAGTAGACCTTCACTCGTTTTTGTTTTGTGTGTGTTGAAGAGATCATACCCATCTGTTAAGAAAAGAGGGGGCGCCACAGCCTCAGCGCCTCCTCAGTATAAAGCTCTGTGTTAGAGGATCATTAACACTGTCGATAAGAAGTAATGGTTCGGTGTCATTCATTACAAATAATTTGCTTCCATTATTTACTGTTTATCTTGGACACAAAGGCCAGTATCTAACTCAATTGTATTATTTTAATCTTTACCTCACCTGTCAACAGAGAATAAAGATGTGAATTGTAACTTTTAATACCAGAATACACTTTTGTCTTGATTTTCTTCTTCTCAAATGTCATATTTTTTATTCTTTCATCTTGACGGCGTCGATCCAGCGCCTTACCGGTAGATGTGAACGCAAACAGAGGCGGGCGGGCCAACCGAATAATGAGAAATTCAGAATATGTGTCAGAATAGTTAACGTTTGCCGATAGGTGTGTGTGTGTGTGTGTGTGTGTGTGTGTGTGTGTGTGTGTGTGTGTGTGTGTGTGTGTATACTGTATACGTAGGATGAGGTGAGGTGTGTATGGCGTGGTTATGTGTCGGCAGGTGGTGGACATGACGGTCTCTTATGACATGGAGTTCGGTTGCTTCATCACGCCCCTGCCGGAACAGTTACCCCAGTGGATGGCTCTCGTCTACCCCTTCAGCTCACAGGTGCTCACTACGGAGGATGAGTATTACCCACATTGTAGTTGTGTAGGGGAGTTTACCACGTGAGTGTAGCGTGATGCATGTTATTCTTGTGAGACTATAATACTGTACTTAGATCAACTCTTCAGAGATAAGACAACAAACTCCACGCCAAGAGCCACCAAAAGTGTGTTGCTGTTTTAGTGGAATTTTCAACACTAATTTAATCAACGCAAATTAATTATCAATTAATGGACCTAAGTTAGCAAAAACACCATGTAAACCATATTCACATTTTAGTATAAGTTGCGTTGTCAGTTAATCTAGAATAATATGTACTACTAATGAGTGATGATCGCTCAGGAGTCAAGGTCTTACGAATGTCCTCTTGTGTGTTAAGAGTAAAACAGTACTAGTGACAGAATTTCTTTGTATCCTCTTTAAATCAAAATGAATCATTATTTTGTAAAACACTATTGATTAAGCACAGACTAAGAGACAGTGTGTGTGTGTGTGGTACAGGTGTGGTGGCTGGCGCTGGTGTTCCTCGTGGTAGGGACACCGTTGCTCTACCTCACCTCCCGCCTCACTCAGTATGTTCTTCACGACGAGACACCCTGGGCCACAACCCTCGACCACAACCTTTTCTACGGCACCGGCATCTTCTTCGGTGTAGGGATGCCCCAGGTGAGGCGGTAGGCTACCTTGGCAACATTCAGACGTATAAATTCATGACTTATTCTGATTGGTCGTCACGCACACGATGTCAGTAAGGTTCCATTTGGCTAGTAGCTGTGTTGGATAGGTTAGGTTAAGATTGAATTTAGTTTAGGTTAGGTTAGGTTACTGTTATATGCTATGTTGAGATAGAGTAGTGAGTGGGTGAGTAGTGGCATCCGTGGACCAAGAGACAACCACCACAAATTTTGCCTCGTCAGTGTGAATTATGCTACTGTACTAGTTTTATTACTGCTAATGCTGATATTGACAATGATAATAGTAAATATATAATAATCATACTAATACTGATAATGATACTGATAATGATGAAAGAAGAATTACTACTACTACTACTACTACTCAGGGCGTCATTTGAGGGGGCTGGGGGGCACTCGCCCCCCAAAAAAACTGGCTTGCCCCCACCCACCGGGCTGTCTTGCTCTCCAAGGAAAATTTTAATTATATTCCTTTTTCATATAGACGAATTTGGATTTGGTGAGAACATCTCTATGGTATTTTTACCATGCACAATTAAACAAAATGATAAGTATTCATTTATTTTCATCGTTCCCATTGCCTATCATTTATAACTGAATAGTGGCAAGGAAGTAAGTCATATTGTTAGCAGCCACACGGTCCACACCGGGCAGATGCAAATTGAAAACATAAAACGTGTTGGAACGTGTTCCGTCTGCTACGGCACCACCCGGCGGCACCACGGTGGAGCAGGATTTTGCCCCCTTAAGCAAAATCTGAAATGACGTCCCTGCTACTACTACTACTACTACTAATAAATCAACTAATACTATTACTATTTCATTATTATCAATGTTATCACCAATACAATGTTGTCTTATATCACAGGTCCCTCAGAGTGACGTGACGAGGAGCTACTTCATCATGTGGGTGTGGTACGGATTACTCATCACCGTGGTCTATCGCTCCTCCCTCACCGCCTTCCTCACCATCCCTCTGTCTCAGGACCCCATCAATACCCTTCAACAGGTTAACCATTTCTTCCCAATTCTCTCAATATATCTGTCTGTCTGTCTGTTTTTTTCTCTTTGATATGAATGGCTGTAGTGTTTGTGAGGTTATGGAAAACTAATTTTTTTGTTAGTTATTGCTTGTGGATATGAGTATGTATGACAGTTTATATTATGTAAATTACGACAGTGCAGCGTGTAGTGAGTTATGTAATAAATGTCTCATCGCCGACCTCTCCCTCCTGAGTAATTAAATCTTTTTGTAATCTGTATAATTCCTGTAAGTTTAGTCACATTAGAATATACCTTTTATTCATGTGGTCAAGGCAGACTTTGAGACATTAGGCTACTATGCTTTTTTATATGAATTTGATATATAAAAGGTTTAGAATATATTTTAAGTATGTAATCCTACTTGTAGCTATCGTTGGCTAATCCGAATCTTCCTGATTATTTATTGTAGTGGTAAGCAACGAATGATTAATTGTATGAAACCTTGTAAATGCAGTGTTAAAAGTACTGTTCACTCTGGCTCTTTTTGGCGGGGGCTGCTGGTATATCAGGGAGATTGGGGCACAGTTCTGGTGGTTAGGTTAGGTTGGGGTCCATGGTTTGTATATCAGCAATAATGAGAGAGTGTTGCTGACAGCTGGTGGGATCTTCGTTACCTGCCTGGGGCGCCACCGGTCTCACCTTCAAGAAGATGCTAGAGGAGAACCCCGACCCCATGGTGCAGCAGCTGGCCCTCCGGTACCAGCCTGTGAGTGGTGCTGAGGAGGGCATCCTGCTCACCGCCCAGAGGAAGTGAGTTGTGTTGGATCCTTATCTAATTATTACACGATTTGGAATCTCGTTGGCTCTAGAGTGTGAACGAGAGGCGGGTAATGTGTTCCTGTGTTCCAGTAACTCACTCTCTGGTCCTAGTTCAGATTGTGTACTTACGTGTATGGCGGCTGCGAGTGCTACTGCCTTTAATGATAGTCTTGATAAGGACATACAGGTCAACACAGACTGTCTGATGTTTCTACATCATAGTTACTCACAATAAAAATCTGCTAGTTTTTACTGAAATATGTAGTACCCAAATACTTATTCAAAAGTACTTATAAGCACAAACACACTATGGCACAATTATATATTCACGCAAAACACATACATACACACACTAGCTCAACATAACTCCTGCAAACAACCATTGTAATACATGAACCAACCAATGTGACGAACTAGACAGTATAAAGAAGAATCTTACCCCGCGGTATATAATGAACGCTGTGGCCGCCAGGTACGCCATGATGGAGAACAGGCAGTTCCTGGAGTACATGATAGCCACCAACTACACCAACAAGTACGGCGAGGAGACCCTTCATGTGATGAGGGAGTGTTTCCTCCCCTTCAGGTCAGTATCATCTCTACCCCTCTTCATGTCTACACAACCTACAGTATCTATTCATCATATAAAAGTTATCTTTGCTGCTGTGGAGTAATAGCGAGCAGAACAGCATACTTCTTGCGGCCTGACACACGGTGATAGTCTTGATCGCTAACTCATGACCAAATACTACCTATATTTTCCATCAATTCATTATCATCAGTTATCACAGCCGTAACATAATGCACGAACTGTCATCTCCTCGGCAGGATCGGGATGGCTATGCCCAAGAAGGCGCCCTACAAGCCTAACTTTGACAAGATCGTCACCAGGGTGGTCGAGGCTGGCTTGGTGAGGCCTCTGTGTGTGTGTGTGTGTGTGTACTATAGTGATTGATGCAGAGCCGTAAATAGAAGGAGTTCGGTTAACTCGGTGACTTGTGGGCGCCATGTTGTTACTCAGCTGATGAAGAAGTTTGCGCTCGTACTGTAGAGGATAATGATGAAGATGATGATGATGTATATTCAGTAAAATTGTCATACGTGTTTACAATTGGATAAGCATGTTTATAAATTATGTAGGAGAGAGTCCAAGAAGACTTCCCACCCGGCGAGTAACAACATGGCGCCCGGTTGGCCAAAATCTCTCTAACTACGACTCTGGATTGATGAACAGTACACGTGTGTTGGTGTGAACTCCTACACACGCTGAGCCTTGCCTCGTCCCAGCAGGTGAGAAAGTGGTTCAGCGACATCCTCTTCATGAGTCGTAAGCGAGGGTCTGGTGAGGCACAGGAGAGTCGTAGTGATGCCCTCACCATCGACAACCTCCAGGTATACTGTACACCATCACCAGGGGTCCCACACTCACCTTGTCTACTGTACACCATCACCAGGGGTCCCACACTCACCTTGTCTACAGTACACCATCACCAGGGGTCCCACACTCACCTTGTCTACAGTACACCATCACCAGGGGTCCCACACTCACCTTGTCCCTGTACACCATCACTAGGGGTCCCACACTCACCTTGTTACAGTACACCATCACCAGTCCCACACTCACCTGTTCACAGTACACCATCACCAGGGGTCCCACACTCACCTTGTCTACAGTACACCATCACCAGGGGTCCCACACCACCTTGTCTACTGTACACCATCACCAGGGTCCTAACACTCACCTTGCACAGCACACCATCACCAGGGGTCCCACACCACCTTGTCTAATGTACACCATCACCAGGGTCCCACACTCACCTTGTCTACAGTACACCACGGGGGCCCCACACTGGCCTTTGCTCACTGTACACCATCACCAGGGGTCCCACACTCACCTTGTCTACTGTACACCATCACTAGGGGTCCCACACACACCTCACCAGGGGTCCCACACTCACCTTGTCTACCCACACTCACCTTGTCTACTGTACACCATCACCAGGGGTCCCACACTCACCTTGTCTACTGTACACCATCACTAGGGGTCCCACACTCACCTTGTCTACTGTACACCATCACCAGGGGTCCCACACTCACCTTGTCTACTGTACACCATCACCAGGGGTCCCACACTCACCTTGTCTACAGTACACCATCACCAGGCTTCTCACACTCACCTCGTCGATGGAAAGTCAATACTAATTCCAAAAATCCATTACAATTACAGTCTTCTCGTATCACTAACCTATAAAATTTTCGTTGTAAGATTTGATTACCACAGAGAAAGCAACATGCAGCATCATAGACAACTTACATTGCAAATATTTTAAAGTGTGTGAATTATGGCTTATTTTTCTACTCATGAAATTGGGATGGTCATGATTTTTTTTTTTAATGAATATGATTTTATTTCATTATTTTTCGTCATTGTTTAATATATTATGTAAAAATTCCTAAACATTATTGGCATATACAAATATTTTCAAGATCACACACCTAACCTAACCTAACCTAAATATTTACATCTACATGGTGTGTTTCAGGGGGCATGGCTACTACTCGGGTTAGGTTGGGTGGTGTCACTGGTTATGTTCGTCCTGGAGGTGGTACTGGGGCCTGACCGTCGGGGGTAAGAGGCGCTCACACAGGCGCTCCTAGGTCCACCCAACGTCTGCTACGTCAGGAAGGAAGACTGCCGGACAACTCGAGATGAACACAAATATAACACCGCCAGATGGACACTCCTGCACTGTACCACCAGGATTGTACAGTCAAAAGGCAGATGAGTTACAGTGAGTGGTTGAGTAGCGTGGATGGGTTACAATGAGTAGTTGAGTAGCGTGGATGAGTTACAATGAGTGGCTGAGTAGCGTGGATGAGTTACAATGAGTGGCTGAGTAGCGTGTATTAGTTACAATGAGTGGCTGAGTAGCGTGGATGAGTTACAATGAGTGGCTGGGCAGCGTGGATGAGTTAGGAGTGGCTGAAGCTTAATGATATTGTACATGTCCAGTAAAACCGTGCAGAAGCCTTTAGTCGTTTGATCTTGTCCTCGATAATGAAAGTTTCTCAGTTTATAGAAGAATCATTAACACAACAAAGTCATTTCCATTTATGTTCACTACAAAGTCAAGGTAATGAATAGAATTAGAAATGCTTGATAATATAGTATGTGGTAAAACACAATCGATACATCATCCTGTGCTTGTGTGCTTAAACTTACACTCCACGCATTCTCTTCCTCGTCTCACGTATTTTCTTGTTTGTGAATCAAAACAATACGAACAGTCTCTCTCCTGCTCACCAGTCTCACGTTACCGACCCGGGGTACACGCACAAGTATTATTTAACCTATTAACTGGGTGATATAATTGTAAATAATTATGAAGGCAAGTGAGTTGGACTGAATCAATCCTTGAGTAGTCATGGTCTAAGAAAATTTCAGTGGAGTAGCTGTAAGATTAATTCAGCCCTGACAGTAGAGGCGTGTTGGGTATTAGACTAGACGCATTTTCAGGAAAGTGGGTTGTTTGAGGCATTTTTAGTAGGAACAACTGCTGTGGCTATTTTACTTAGTTTAAGTATGTTGTATGCAAATATGTTGCTGCAAAACTGAATATTTTTTTTGTTTAGTCTCTATGATGCAGAAAAGAAAGTGGCCGCCAGCACACACAATTTTTATAGTAACGGTGTATGTAATCTATTATGTTTAGCATATTTGCAGATTTTATACAACGATTTACATCTATACTTAATAGGTGGGCTCTTTCTTATAATTTCCGGTCCCAGGTTGCAGAAGACACACATGCCATGCTTCAAGTATGCACTGAAGACAGTTTTACACACAATGAAACCAATCAGGGGAGACGGAAGCGTGACCAAAGTGAAGGAGAGTCTTTGTTGTCTACTATGCAGCAGCTCAAGGTTTTCTCACCGGAGGTTCTTCCCACTTCTCTTCATAATGTAGCCACCAAAGACCTTGCGACTGACACAATCCAGAATTCCCTCTTGAATGCCAAAGAACTTGGGAAGAAGTACCTTGAAACATTCGCCAAGGACCGACTGACAGTAGACAATGAACAAAAAACCAGCCGTTTCATTCCATAGTACTCTACCAAGAAGCAACGCCCCTACATTTGAAAATTCGTATGAAGTAGTGTGATATAATAAAGATAAGGATAAAGCAACCATTTTGAAAGTAGATAGAAGTGTCCTCCAACGCCTAATTGTTGCTTATAAAGCTGACCGCAAGTTTGATTTACAAGATGTGCTGAAGCATGAACTGCTGAATGTGCCAGTATCACTGGCAGAGATGAATGGATCCCTAAGAACAGGCACTAAATCTGTGCTGGTGACATACTCATAGCAGACACTGACTGTCCGTCAACCATTGAACTGCAAGGCTAACCCTCAAGTCTTATAATAGATGGACAGGCCTTAGTTGTGGCCCCTGCAAAACCCACAGAAGCACAAACATTTGGTGACCTGGGAAATACAGTATATTCACAAAATTAGTGTTGCAAGCTGGGTCATCGTACAAGAGAATTGATGTTGTTTTTGACCGATACAGAGAACAGCCCATCAAAGCTGGTACAAAAAAGCGCCGTGCCAAAACCACGAGACCCATTCGTCGTGTAATTAACGGATATGAAGTACCTTTCTAGTAGCTGGACGAATTTCCTTGCTTCATCTGAAAATAAAGTTGGCCTGGCAAAGTTTCTATCACAGAAGCTGATTTCAAATGCACCATCGGATAAGGAGGTAATTGTCGCTGAGAGTTTCCTGATGAAAAAAGTCCAGTCATCGAAACAATCAGCAGATGTCAGGTCTTGCTGCAGCATATGAAGAGGGTGACACAAGACTTGTGCTATATGGTATAAACAATAACTAATAACGTTGTTGTGTCTGAAAGAGATACTGATGTTATTTTGCTGTTAGTATCACATTATGGATGATGTCAGGCACAGTAAAAAAGCCCAAATATATCAACATCAAGGACCATCTTCGACCGGCTGCTCCCTGAAGCTGCTCCATCTCTCCTACCCTTCCAAACACAGACAGGATGTGACATCACAGCCTTCACAGCCTTTATATGCAATCACACAAAATCTTCTGCTTGGAAGTTGTTTCTAAAATATCACCATCTTCTTGCTGGCTTAGGTGAGGGAGAACTTACAGAACAAAACATCAAATCAACTGAGAATTTTATGTAGATTATACAACTTGGATAATGTCGACTCTGTATATAAGGCTCGTTTCGTCATGTTCTCTAAAGTTTGCAAACCGGAGGCTATGCCACCCACAAGCAATGCGTTATAATTCATATCAAGCGAGTTCGCTTCCAGAGCATGATCTGGAAGTGAGCTAACCGGATCTGCCTACACCAGAGATGATGGGATGGAAACTTCAAGGAGATAAGCAAGAGCCCATTCTAATGACACTACCAGCAATTCCAGAAGCCTGTCAAGAAGGTATCTGCTTGTTCATGTCGCACTGGATGCAAAAATTACCGTTGTAAATGTCGGAAGAGCAAACTATTCTGCACAACAGTTTGTGGATGTAACAGATATACCATTCCCAATGACTGTGTTAATGTTAATCCAACATAAGTTTCTATATGAATAACTGAGGATCAGAGAGATGAAGCATGTATCCCGAATGAAACTGTACATTACATCCAAATTTGCTTCGTTTAAAATACCATGTGTTCCTGTCTTCACTTTTGGATAAAATTTTACTATATACCTGTAAAAATATCTTTGTTAGTTATAAAATATATGTAATTTATGAAAACATCTAAATGCCATGTTTTGTTTCACAAATTTGTATATAAGAACATAAGAATGGAGGAAACTGCAGCGGGCCTGTTGACCCATACTGGGCAGTCCCATTTACACCCAACTCCTATCGCTCATATATCCATCCAACCTATGTTTGAAACTATCCAGCGTATTCGAGTTAATGGTGATGTTCGGTAACTTGTTCCATTCACCCACTACTTTATTTCCAAACCAATGTTTACCTATTTTGCTCCTAATTCTAATTTTTTATCATTTAAAACCATTGTTACGAGTTCGCTCCTGGTTGGATAGTTTGAGTACCTTTGTAATGTCCCCTTTGTTTGGTCCTGACTTCCATTTATACACCTCGATAATATCGCCCCTCACTCTACGTCTCTCGAGGGAGTGCAAATTAAGATGCTTTAAGGTGTAGAAGCTGTCGCCAACATAACAACCACACCCTGAGTTAATGAGTTGCATGACCCAGTGTCAAGGAATAATCCAAAAAAACCGGACATAACGTTAACTGCACTGGCTAACCATTATCCCGGAATACGATCCGCAAATCGATTAACATCCAGGTCCCCAAATACTGCTGGGTAGACAGAGGCAAATGGCCAAAAGAAACTTGCCCATAGTATGTATGTATGTATGTGCGTGTGTGCGCGCGGGCGTGTGTGTGTATGTGTGTGTTGAAGAAGGTTAACTATGGTCGTGTCGAGGTTAGAGATGAAAGTGGTTGTGATGGAGGGTGATGGTAGTAGAAGTGAGGGAGGAAGGGTGGGGGGGTAGAGAGGAGCAGGACGGAGTAAACGTGGAGTAAGCACTGGCTGGTGGAGGATACAGTGATGGAGGACACACTACTGGAGTGGCGCAGGAGTACGTGGAGTTGTAGCGTAAGTAGAGGGAGTGGAATGAACACCACATCTTAGGGAAGCAAAGTCGTAAAGTACACAGTGGGTGGTGATGCACAAAGTAGGTGGTGATGTACACAGTAGGTGGTGATGTACACAGTAAATGGTGTTGTACAAAGATGAAGCACACGGTGGGTGGTGAAGCAAGCAGAAATAAGTGAAGTACATCAAAGAAGGTGAAGCAAACAGTATGTGGTGATGAACACAGAGATGAAGAACACAGTGGGTGTATCTTAGAGAGCTTAATTGTTGTTGGACTAGTCTATTATTAGCCTTATTGCTCTCTTAAGGACCTTGGTTGTTGAAGCACATACACTGGGGTGGCACATACTGTGTGAGCAAGCAACTACTGAGGTGATGACACATACTGGGGCTGAGGTGCTGAGGGTGGTGAAGCACATACTGAGGGTGCGAAGCAACTGACTGAGGGTGATGAAGCACATACTGAGGGTGGTGAAGCACATACTGAGGGTGCGAAGCAACTACTGAGGGTGATGAAGCACATACTGAGGGTGGTGAAGCACATACTGAGGGTGCAAAGCACCTACTGAGGGTGGTGAAGCACATACTGAGGATGATGAAGCACATACTGAGGGTGGTGAAGCACATACTGAGGGTGGTGAAGCACATACTGAGGGTGCAGAAACAACTACTGAGGGTGATGAAGCACATACTGAGGTGGTGAAGCATACTGAGGGTGCAAAGCACCTACTGAGGTGGTGAAAGCACATACTGAGGATGATGAAGCACATACTGAGGTGGTGAAGCACATACTGAGGTGTTGAAGCACATACTGAGTGATGATAGACACACTTAATGGTGAAGAACACAAAGTTTATAACAAGTTAGATCTCTTAAATACTTAGCTTACCACATAAATACATTACGTGGTCCTATGATTCCCTTACGGACTTATGGAAATGATAGCATCACTCCTCATTATCTAAGACATTAATTTACTATGTATTATTATCGTGGGTGTGAACCGGTCTCTAAATTATGAAATATTTCTACATCTATTTCATGTTTTCCCCACCGAATTTATGATAGATATTATTCAGCTTTCACCTCGTGGTTAAGTATCAAACTCTTTATCTGTCAGAATAACAGCTAGTATATTTCTAGATGAAAATAAGATAACAAAAAAAAAAGTCTCGGAGTGACGTTTGTAGTCTGGGCTCAAAAAGTGGGTTAAACCTCACATACCCTCCGCCGTTTAGCAGCCATCACCGGACTGGACGACATTAAACGTACCTTAATTAAAAAATCCAGCCCCTGATCACATTACTGTGCCGTGTGAAGAGAGTACGCGCTATTAACATTCCTAGACT